TTGAGTTTGTGTTTCCACACTGTTTGAAGCACTAATTTTAATACATATTTTTTTAAAAGTATTTCAGAACAACATTCCAAAGGCCTCGTTGTGAAAATAAGTATGGGTTTGTAACTACCGTTACCTATTGTAAGCAATCCAACATATCCGTAAAGATTTTGTTAAAAGTGTGTTTTTAAAAAAGGAAATACACCGAGCCATCATTGCAGCCAAGACTCTACATAGTAGAGGAAACTCCTTTCTTTCCTTTAAATGATGCTAAAAATAACTGACCTACTTGGTTGCCATGAAACAAGAGTGTAAATATTTCTCTCGGGGAAAAAAAAAAGACTAGGGGGAGCAACTCTTTAATGAATGAGAACAAAAAATCGCGGGCCTATAAAATTCTTGAAACAAAATAGGTCTGTCTAAAGTTGAGCACAGCATTATCTTAATGGATCAATATGCAAGTATTGTGCGCAGGAAATTTGTTTTTTAAATGGGGTTTTTTAAAAATATTTTTGACATGTCTGCGAATACATTATTAGATTGCATGTGAGATAAACCGATGCAAGCATCTGTCTCGCCCGGGTGGTATGAAATTACGCCAAATATCAAATCAGTGGATCAACCCAGTGTATCAACTGTGCATACGATTTTCGTAAGCTGTTTAGCTTCAATACACACTCCCTAGCCAAACTGTTCTCAAAACTTTGTGTACCAGACACAGAGATTGCCATTATGCCAACTCAAGTTGGAATAAGACTTACATCTATATAGCTAGAGGACTGTGTTAGGAACTATTAAGCAATATGAATAAAATAGATCTAGGTCAAGGTCAATGTTTAGGGTAGACCTAGAGATGATTTACAAGACCAGACTATATGAGAACCACTGCAAAATTTATCTAGGTCAAGGTCAATAGTTAGGGCAGCTCTAGATGGTTTACAAAACCAAGCTGTATGAGAACCACTGCAGTTATGTGATTAAAATATATCTGGGTCAAGGTCAAGTAGACCTCGCTGGTTTACAAGGTCATTGTTATGGAGTGTGTGCGTGCGTGTTGCTGCTGTAATTATGGCGAATAATGTTTCTATTAGCTCAATAGATTCTGATGTAATAACGAGGAAGTCGAGGTTGTAAATAGAGCGAGTGATAGGATGGTAGGACAAGCAAGAGACATGTGACAGAAAGGCCTTTTTATTTTAAAGATGATCATCACTTCTGCTGTGTTACTACACACTCTACATTAACTCTTTCTCTCCGTAATTATTTACCACATTCTGGTGGAATCAACGTTGGTATCGTCAGTTAGGAGAGAAAGAGTTAAACTTAAACGCTGTGTCTGTAATGTCAATAAAAGTTGCATTCAACGTATGTTCAAGTTTGATTCAGGCAGGCATTTGTAGAGTGATGCGCCTACTTACTGTTTGGGGATACAACCCAGCGACGTGTTTTAACAGTCAAGCTGTTGGAGAACCACTGCAGAAATACGATTAAAATCGATCTAGCTGGTCAATAGAATTCTACCACGTGGTAACCACCATTGTTATACTAAAATAGATCTATTTCTAGCTCAATATTTGGGGTAGATTTAGTTTACAAAGTCAGTCTGCGCGAGAACCACTATTGTTTTATGATTTAAATAGATGTATTCCTAACTCAATATTTGGGGTAGATCGAGTTAGTTTACAAGGTCAAACTGTGTGAGAACCACTGAAGTAATCCCTCACCATCACGCCCTCCTTACAGCCTCGCACTTCAGCTCAGTGTCATGTGTTCGCGACCCAAGTGCTGGGCTATCATTTTGTCAGATGTCGTGGATATCAAATAAACCATGAAACACGATGCGCGTCCTTTCCTCCATCAAAGACCCACCCCCAGATATAATAATAGCAGTCCATTATCTGTTGGCATAAACGGGCTTGTGTTTTAAACTCCCGACTATTACTTCATTGATGATTGTACAGTAACAGACAATCCATTCTTAATGATTATTTTATAAGGCGAATTTCTTCTTTATTGCACTGAAAGATTAAGAAGCATCACTAAGAAATAAAGACTCGCTCCAAGATAGACACGGACCCAACCAGTGCCTAATTTCTCTGACATTTTAATCTTGTAAGTGCTTTGGTGTATTGCAATTAAACACTGAGCTAAACTCTGTATCATCACTCAAGCATGAAAAGAGAACTATTCAATGTGACCCATTCGATAGCCTCTACTTCAAGAACGGAACTATTTCTCTGATTCTAGATATACCTGTACACTTCATTCGCTAGAACAGTGCCCCTAGTCTGCGGCACGGGTAGATCTATAGGGCAATATACACTGGTTGGACCAGTTTTAAAGAGAGTTGATCTAAAGATAATTCTAAAGATACAGTTTTAAAGAGAGTTGATCTAAAGATAATTCTAAAGATACAGTTTTAAAGAGAGTTGATCTAAAGATAATTCTAAAGATACAATTTTAAAGAGAGTTGATCTAAAGATACAGTTTTAAAGAGAGTTGATCTAAAGATAATTCTAAAGATACAGTTTTAAAGAGAGTTGATCTAAAGACTTTTAAAACTTTTTAATAGCAGGTTAATGCACTGTAGATACCTCAGAATATGCATTTTATTGTCTTTCAAAAACCGTAAATAGCGCTTGACGGCGGGGCTCCGCCTCGAAACCGTGCTGAGGGAAGCTCATAGCGCTCTTCCAGACCCCATTGCTGGCAAAGGCGGGGAGTCTACAATTTTTTCCACTAACTCCAGGAAGAACCTATTCTAGGGTACAATAAACGTCTTTCGAAAGAATAAAGGGTTAGAATGTAATAAAGATTAATTATGCACACAAATTAAATATATACCGGTATATATAATTTTTTTTGGGGGGATGGGGGCCCAAAACAAAATCCTGGCTACGCCCATGCATTGAGCATGGTTATATCAATTAATTTGGATCAGTCATGTAATTAAATTTGTAATAGACCTAGACTAACAATAAAAAAATACCCAACTTTTTTTTAAATGGTGGGGGAGGGAGAGAACGACCTATATTCGAACTCATGGCTCAAGCCGACATTTTAACCACTCAGCTAGTGAAGTTCTAAGTTCCTATGAACATAGACTGTTTCTTTAGTCTTTTCGTACTTCATGTTCGTGTTCACTAAGATTCAGACGAAGCCCTATAAAGGGGACTACTTCAGCTTAGACCCCTATTTCAGTCAGGTACAATTTCTTTCCATTTTTCGAGATACCAAACAAAATAATTAATTACCAATATCTAATTTAACTAATTGGTTAATTTTTTAAAATGATTCTGGAGTTGTCAGGTAAAAGTGCTAATTGAGCAAATTTTCAGCTTGATCCCAGATTTGGTGTTGGAGAAATAAGGTGTACAAACATTTTTCCTGACAGAGTTGATAATAAGCTTTAAACAACAGGCCTCTGCACCCTTTTGTGTCTAACAATTTTTACCACATTTAGTCATTTTATTATTTCATAACACTAAATACCCCCCCCCCCCCCTCCTTTACGGCAAGAGGTTTAGATAAAATAACTCAATTATACGGCTCACAAAGTTTGAAGAGATCACCTGGGACACGAGAAACAGATCTAATCAAACAATGCCAAGAAACCAGAAAGGAGAGGAATGATCTTCCCCAAGTCCCAAAAGGCTCTGAATGAATTCATCACCTTGAAAGAACTCGGTAAACCTCAATCTATCATCAACACTTTGGAAACTTTTAGATCGTCTTATTCTCGTATTTCGTACCACGAGTCCTCCCAATATTAATTACTGTTAAGAACATGAATTAAATGTAAGCGAAGATATTGAACGCAACATACACTCTTATTTTGTTCAGTATGTCACCAAAACAACACGTGAACTCTAATTCATCTCTATAAAGCTTTCAACGAAACGTCTGTAGCCCACAGCAAGGGTTTTTGTCCGCAGTAGACCCATTGTCCTTATGTACAAAGGGGTCACCAAAATGGCCAAAAAGGTTCCGAGGCACGGTCGACAGGAACTTAAAACTATATTTTGTGTTGCACTCACCGTTCTGACAACTGGGCTGTGACTATAGAGTCTGGGAACGACCATGCAGTTTATTACTTATATACAAAACACAATGTTTAAAAGACTTGGTGTGTATATTTATTATGCAATTAAATAGACACGTTCCTTCAACAAAGAGAAAAAAAGCGTCAGCGCTTACAAGATGATGTCAGGGAAAGGAACATGAACGAATGAAATCGAAAAAAAAAAAGGAGGGGGGTGAGGTGGGGTTTAAATGACTTATGGACAGGTTTAAAAATGAAGCCTGCCTAAGACTATTCAAGAAATGGCTATATTTCTTTCATTAACGTGACAACATGATCTAAAGATGTAGAGGTCCAGCACTTTAATGTTGAGTGATGAACAAGTGTAATAGTATTAGTCAAAGTCTAGGACAAAGAAAGGCGTGAGAATACATCCTAAACACGTACATACCAGTAGTAACATACATTTTAAATATAAGAGGGAACATCAAGCAGCACATCTATACTGCAACACATGGAACAATACATAGCAACATTAGATTTCTGTCAACAGGTTAGCAGTAGGTCACCCATAACAAAACTATGAGCTGGCAAAAATAAACATAGAGAGGACCTTAATCTTTTAAACTGGAAAAACTGCTGTAAATATGTCTAAGATATGTACTGAATTTTAAAAAATTAAAAAAAAAAAAAAAGAGGCTGTACATTGCTCATGATGTGTATAGACCTTTGTCAAATAATCAACCTAATGTTACTAACAGGTTGAGACCTGATCCAAATGTCACATTGGACATAATCTACAAGAGGAGTAGGTAGTCACTAACAAAAGCACACATTATTAGCACTCTACAATAGGGACATTGGACTAAGAGAAAAGAGAGATGGAATAGAGAGAGTTGAAACACTTGATACCTACATAAAGTACACTATATAATTCTAAGTGGCAAGCAACACAATGACAATGGAACATAATCACACTAAGTCAATGAACTAGTTTTATACATTTTATTTTTTATTTTGGAACTACATAAACATACGGACAGACAAACCAACTATCACAAAACCACACAATTAGAGAGAATGTGAGATGACATGGTTATTTACAAACATTAGCAATCATAAACAACATTGATGAAATTATCTCCCCTTTCACACAAATCATGTCACCTGGTCAACCGTCAACATTCAAAAAGTTACAAAAATAAAAATATTTTGCACTATCCAGCCATTCTAAAGCAGCAATTCTCTAGAACACCTTTGGAATTGTGATTTAAAAAAAAAAAAAAGGCAGTGACAGTTCTATCAAACTTCTCATTGGTACATATCTTTGAAGAAAAAAACAACATGCAATCTCATTTAAAAAAAAACAAAAAACTATTTACACAATGTCCTCTCTCACATCTGCAGCAATTATCTCCCCTAGCCCAAACAACACTTATTGATTTTAGATTCCAGTCTGAGGTCTGGGCTTTAAATAGAAGCAACAAGAATTATGAAACAAGCAAGCATGTCCTCCTTGACCAAAAAAATGTTTAATTGTTTATCTTTTAGATGTCATGATTAAACAATTCTGTGTTGGCTGCATAAAATAGAAGTCTTTAGGATTAGAAGAACAAGTAAAAAAAAAAAGGTAAAATAAACTTTGCTCTGTGATGACACATTCAGAATCAATGTCTCTTTAGTTCAAAGACTAGTAGACAGTTTTAAATAAAGGAAGTGGTACAAATACCACTTGGTGAACAAAATCTGTTGTGTACTTTCTAAGCTGAAACCAGTGGCACATACAATCCCTGTTTTAAAGCTTAATAAAAAAATGTGTAATACATGTTGGATGTTCCTTTAGAGCTGAAGACTATTACATCCTAATCAAAATATCCCACAGGATGGCAGTGGGCAGGGTTTAATCCTTATTGAGATGAACGTCCAGTGTATACCACATGACCAGATGCCATCCTTTTTATTTTAAAATAAAAAATCTATGACAGTTTGTTTTTAAAAAGAGCAAAATGCCCCCCCCCCCCCCCAAAACTAGGGAAAGAAATTGAACCAAAATAAAAAAATGCCTGTATTTAAAGTTAATACCTAAATATTTAATGTTTTTTTTTTTATTTATTTAAGGCTACTCTGAAAGCAAGATTTATGAAATCTTTCTGAAACATTTTCTGATTGTAAAACTAGGCATGCTAATGCTAGTCACCCTAAAACTAGCAGTAGAATGCAAAACTTTACCCTGGCTTTATCAGCAGCCAACAAAGGCTAAGCCATTTTGCAATCTGTAACCAACTGGTTTCCTATCTGACTAGTGTTGGGATAACAACACTTCATGTCTTATCATTTTCAATGGAGGGCACTTAAACGTTATGAACTAGTCTTGCTTCAATAACTAATCTTCAACATAGGAAAAGTAATAAAGTGAACTCTTCTGAGATTGTATTTCAATAGAACAAACAAAGTTCAACATTTAACACAAAGATTAGCTTTTGCTAATAATTATTTATAGATAATAAAAAAAAAGACAAAAGTACTAATTGCCAACTTTTCTTAGTAAAATTAAAATTAGGAAGTTTAAAAATGTGTTCACCAATAAACAAATGACATATGCACTTGTATGTAGACTACTATTAGAGGAAGTTTACACTGGATTCTATTCAATGATAACTACACAAGTGAATTTCAAGGGGGTGGGAAGGAGGAGCTGGGGCTTCCTACATCACCTTGATATACATGAAGGGTAATATATAATTCTTTCAAAGGTTCTGTAGGCTACTTACTACTTCAGATAAGTCTAAATGGAAACATTGGACCAGACATAACTTCATGAAGAGAACTCCCACCACCCCCTTCCTCAGTTCCAATCTCTCTTTAATGATACTAACTAGCATCTCTTCCACTCCATAAACTGGGATGACCACAAATCTATCCTTTTATTTAAGTCAATTTTGTTATGTGAAAAACTTTTTGAGATAATATAACCGTTTTAGTAGTACTACTGGTCGGTAAAAGTGCCTGTCTAGGTTAGGAAAACCCAAATTAAGAGTAGGATAAAGGGAAGAGTAATTAGTAAACTTAGCTAATTGCCACTTAAACAGGTCAAGAACATAGGACAACAGTCATCACATTGAATAAGTAATTTCACAGAAACAAAAATTAATTATATTTAAATGGAAAAAATAAAAGAGTATTTAGGTCAACGGACCTGCCAGATATGGTACAAAATTTGTATTCTTGCACATGAGCTTAACTTTGTTCCCCTAGAGATCAAAGCACACAGAACACAGACAAAGCAAAGCAATATTTTATAGCTACAGTTACAAAGGTCCCCAAATATTTGATTCATTCGTACAGTCAGAAACACTGATATAATTTTCTTTACATATGTATATATTTTATAAAGGATTTTTGTGTTAAAGCTGTGAGTCCCAGACAAACAACAGGTTGTCACAGAATAGGAGCGGCCATCGTAGTCATTTATTATTTATGTCTACTATATGCAACAATGGGTAGTATTTACATAGAAACACACACACACAAACATGTCCATCTAAATCATTCTGTACTCACTTTGTTTCTGAATAACTTGAAGAGAACACATTAATTAACATTCAATAATGAAGTAGAATCAAAGGACAAAAAAAAAAAAAAAAAAAACTTAGAACAAGGCATAATACCAAGAATTAGCCATAGGAAATTCTTCCTCCTTCTGTTCCAGCAAAAAGAAAAGGCAAATGTTTACCTCATTGTGTACTTTTGCCTCAGAGTGGTAATCCAATAATAGGTTCTTAAAAGGAGCACCCGTTGTGATACATCAATGTACTCACACACACAGTTTTAGTGAGCTGAATATGTAAATCCTTTTTTTCCCCCTCCGCAAGGGGAGCTTCACAACAAAATGGAAATCAAAATGGTCGTGCCATCGCTTAACAAGCAATAGACATTCATATTCTTTCATTTTGATGAAATGAATCACACACATTTTTTTTTAAAAATAAAAATGTGAAAAAATAAATCCATCCAAGTAAATGAAAGCTTTTCTGCACTGTCTACTCCATAAAGAATCATTGAAACCTATCAACACACACTGAAAATAATCCTGAGACCAGCAATAGTGGAGGCAATACATAGAGGAAGAGACACATATGAATACACTGAAATATAATCCAAACAAACACAGAAAGTTGCTTGATCTTGGCTTTGAAGCTTTGGATTATTTGATGAGCTCTCCATAATGAAGAGGAAAATAAAAACAACAACAATATTTAGCACAAAGATATTTCTTGAACATTTGTTGTCACCATAGTGCATATTGAAGGGATGGGCAGCCATTGTTAGGAAATGTGTAGATATGCTGTTTTCAAGCATGATATGAATCTGTTGACATAACAAAACACTTCATGGTATCCTCAGCTAGTTTGTATTTAAAAGATGACTTCATAAACTGTGGCTTTCTTGTCCCCTGATCCAGTAACAATATATTTATCATCAGCAGAAATATCACAACTCAACACTGATGAAGGTTCTTTGGACTGTAAAAAAAAAATAAATAAAAAAAAAAATTATTTTCATGGTAAATAAAGAATAAAATGTATTATAAAGAAATGATAGGAGCACAAACTTACCTGGAAAATACTAGCACCATATGGAGTACGCCAGGCATTGAGCAAATTATCTTTACCAGTACTAATGAACCATTCACCACAATAGGCAAATTTAAGAGACAGTACACAGCTTTCATGAAGGTGGAGCTGGTATTTATCAGGCTTAGAATGGTGCAACACTTCAACATTGCTGCTTTCCATGCTAATTATAGAAAAAAAAAAGTTACAGCAAAATAATAACATTTTTTTATCTACAGGTAATTAGATCAAAATAAAAATGTAGAAACGAAATTAAAAGTATTAAAAATTCATAACATTCATGACTTACCCAACTGCTAACCATTCTCCTTTTGGACAATACCCTAATGAAAATATTTGAGAGGAGAAATCATGCTGCTGTAACTGTCTTCCCTGAAAACAAAAGTAAAATGCAATAAGCACAAGAATAAACAGCAATAAAATTTAGTACAAGGTTGAAAAAAGAAAAAGTGGACAAGCTCACCTCTCTAAGATCCCATGATCGCACAGTATTATCCAAACCACCAGTCCACAGTTTGGTGCCATCTGGAGATATATCTATACAGCTTGCACCATCTGTGTGTCCTTGGAATTGCCTTCAAAGGAACCAAATTAAAAGCCAAATAGAAACAAATGACAAGAAAAAAATAAAAATAAATAAAGTGGTCGAAAAGCAAATGTCAAAATATTTTGCTAGAAGCCCACGTACCTGACTAGTGTTTGGTTGTGTAAGTCCCAGACTGCAATATGGCCATCACTACAACAACTAAAACATACTTTGGCATCTGGACTTATAGCCAGAGCATAACATGCTGGGGCACTGGAAGTTAACTCAGCTTTTATTCTTGGTGTAGGCTGGGAAGAGATGGAACACAAAGGTAAACACACAAGTCTCAAGTGTTTCTCTGAAACAGCTTCAGAAATTACATTCTATCAACTTACTGATGCAAGATCCCATATTGATAATGTACTAGCCTCTCCACCAACAATTAAAGTGCGTCCATCTTGAAGAAGTTTGATTGATCTAATATAATTGTCACGTTGCTAAACCCAACAAATAAAAAAAAAGAGGTTAGGACAAGATGCAAGATAAATGTTTTAAGTTTAAGAAGAAAAAAAAAGAGTACTAGCTTTAAACTATATTTTACCAGACAATCCAACTGTGAAATAGGAGGGCTCTTATTTCCTGGCTGACTGATGTCCCAAACTTTCACACAGCCCTGGAAAATGTAGTTTAAGTATGCAGTTAAGTATGGACTTACAAAAATAATCAAGAAATATGCTGTCCTAAATATCAAGACAATGTATTACCTTTCCACCAGTATAGACATGCCGTGTGGGATTACTAACAGTAACAGCACACACCACCTCACCATGGTTGAGTGTGTTTATTTGTCGAGCATGACGAGGGATACCCGGTCCTATGAGAGCATCAGGTGGGAATGGAACTGGCTGCATCTGACCATCACCACTCACATGGAATGAATATGCTCTATAGAGAATAAAACAAAATAGTATAAAACAAGAGGTCTCGGCAAAACTATTGGCAGGAATGATGTGTACTCAGCATTACATATAGTTATAAATACACTTACGGTTTTCCTCCAGAAACACTGTTCAGATTGGGTCGCATAGCTCCATGTGATCCATGAGCTTCAAATCCAACCTACAGCATGGAAAATATATTGATGTCACTATGTGTGCTAAGAAACCATTCTATATAGACAGTTAGAAGTCCAGGACATTGTAATCATGACAATGTAGTCAAATTACAAAAGTATAAATACCATTGGTGGTCTTGGAAAACTGTTAAGTGCACTGGCTGCCAAACCATTTGTTAAAGGACCAGCTGATGTATAAGGAATGGGGCTCAATTCTGAAGCACTCATGTTTGCACTACTACGTTGCATGAAAGGATAGCCTGATAAAACAATGTGTACAAAAACTATATCAGTCAAAATATTCATTTCAGCCACTAAGTATTTCATAAAAACATTTTGTTTAATGTAACTAAATTTTTGAAAAAATGTATGTAAGTAGAATGTTACATCCTTAAGAAATCAGTTACACTTAAATCAAGTGTTTAATAATATTTACATAATACATCATTATAATTATTTTTCCACAGCAGCCTTAATACAAGTAAAACATGAAGGAATGTGTGCCCATGTGATATAAACCACTTGCATTACTTAAAAGGGCAATTGAGTTTTAATCCTGATGTGAACCAGATTTGTTCTCAATGAGACTTGAGTTGATTTTCTCTAACTTGTATATACAATAAATCTCACCATGTTTCACACCTGCTGATGGTCCTGGTGTGGTGCTGCCTGAGCTTGTTGGTGTGGCTGGTTTTGATACAGGTGTTCCTGCCTTTTCACTCTGCTCATATAAATAATATTTTGACACT